GCTGTTTTCTCTCTCTCAAATTGCTAAACTTGTGAAAGCTTAGCTCCCATGCCACATGCTCCTCAAGCTAAGCCATTAATGAAATCCTCATGCTTATTTGGGTGTTAGTGAAGTGATCCTGAGAGTGTTCTTTTAAAATCTCATTAGATTTTCTAAAAACTCTCTTAGGAGCTTGTTTTTCGAACTCAGGCATTTGGGGGATTTTTGCTCGTTGCCTTCTCACAGCAGCCCAGGCTCATTCGTCAGGCTGCTGGAACAAAAAACCCCCTACACTGCTCAACCTAACAATTCTTACAACTTTTGAAAAAATTGTTTCTCATAGTTGAAAAATAGCCATTCTTCCCTTCTTAGATTGCGATTTGCAGGTAAGGATGAATGAGGCATTCCTCGTAATTTGATTTACTATTTCATTGGACTTGTTGGGCCTTTGAATTCTAAAAAATTACCACGTCAGAGGTTCATATTGGCCCAAGCCCAATATCTCAACAAAAGCAAAGAGTTTGGGCTTGGTTTTTATCTTCAACACCCATAGAGGGGCATTTTTGGAAAATCAGCCCAGCATATATCTTTTGGAAAACCCCCATCTTCGCCAGTCTTAAACCCTAGCTCGAACAAATAACCAGAGCACCTTCTCCTCCGCCTACACTTTGAGCAGGTACGAATTTAACATATTTTACAATTACAAATTGCTATCTTTCCCTGCGAATTTACAACTTTCTTGTGTCGAAACCTCTAAGTTCTAGATCGCTAAACTCTTTTTTAATAAAATCGAAAATTTTATCAGCATGAATAACTGTTGTGAAATATTCAGTGTGTTAAGTTCTATATGAGATTTTGTGTCGGAGTTTCATGCATCATTGCTTTGATTTTCAGCAGGTTGAAGAAGAAGCAGCCAATATGTATCTCCAGTACTACATAAACGAGAATGGCGACAAAGTCTACACCACTAAGGTTTGTGACGATGATTTGCAATTTAGCTCCTTGTTTAGAGCACATTAGCTAACAAATTCGACAAACCCACTTGTCAATATTTGAATTTGATGTGTTTTACTTGCTCTTCTGTATGCAGAAAGAATCACCACTGGGGCTTCCCACTCAATCTGCCCATCCAGGTAAGAACAAAATCAGTCTATTGAAGTTGGCTGCAACCTAGTTGCAGCTTTGTTGATTGTCTGAATATGATTTCATAACGGTGGTTATGTTGTTAGGATATCATGTCCTGTTGTTCCGTTGTCGTGCTGTCAAGTAAAGATGTTAGTGTTGTTAAGTTGTCGAAAAACTAATGCCATTTGGGGTTCTTGAATGTTTGCTGCTTGCTAACATGACGGTAAGAAACAGCTGCAATGAACGGTAGTCCCAAGTTCTTTGCAGGTCGTTTTCTATGAATCTATCAGAAAGTTCTAGATTGCTTGAGATTGTAATCTTCCAAGGGACATGTTTAGTAACGTTGCTATAATGAATGCAAAATATAAGATTGCAAGGAACTTAGGTCTTCTCTGTTGGGTTCCAAATTAAGTTCCAAGAAAATCAATGTTTTGCTCCGGAGGAAAATGTTTTCGTGATGAGTTTTGATGTTGATGATTTAGTTGACTTTTATTTACTCAACTCTGTGAAATTTGGCACCAGATTGTTCCAGAATACGGGTGTTTTCTAATATTAATTGGAATGATTTGGAAGTGTTTGAGATGATATAGAAGTATACAAAAGAATCGTTTTTATTAGGTAGCGCACTAGTTGAAGGAGAGAGTTCTTGAATGATCTGTGGCTACCAGTCTTCTGCATAATCTTCCTTGGAAAAGGTTCCCAGTTTTTTGGTTGTTACTAATCTGTTTCTTTGTTCATTATTATCAACTGCAGCCCGCTTCTCCCCCGACGACATGTATTCAAGGCAAAGATTTCTCCTGAAGAAACGCTTTGGGTTGTTGCCGATCCAGCAGTCACCTCTGAAGTATTAGATACTTATAAAAGTTCAGCTGCTTTGAAGGGCTTCTTCGTTTGAAGTGTCTCAGACTTTAGGGTTTTACTAGGAGTGCTATCTTGTTGGACCTTTCTATTGGGGACTGTAACTGGATATGTCTACCGCTAGTATGCAAGCAGCACAAATGGTTGTAGACTGGTTATGTGTCAAGTTTTTGAAAATGTAGTAGATTTCTATGAATATGCTTTGCAAATTTACTTTCAACCTTCATATCTACTAAAGTTTGTGAGTAAAGCTCCCATATCTACCCAAATATATCCATCCACTTAAATTATTGGGTTGTCGCACCCTTTACGTTTTCCTCCTCTTCTTCTCTCTCTATATTTTTTCCTTTTGATTTCACTTTTTTCATATGGAAATTGATTTTGAATTCACTTTTTTGGGTATGGAAATTGATTTTGAACCTTCTGGGTTGGAAGATATTTTAAGTTCGAACAATGACGGACAAATTGGAAAAGAAGTTGAGAATAACTTCACATATGAACAAATTAAACAAAACTATATTAGTGTTTTTTTTTTTTTTTTTCCGGGTTAGAAACAAAACTATATTAGTTGGATGTCAAATTAGAGGACATTTTTGTGCCAGAATACTAAAGAAGAAAAAAAGCAGTTGCTCAAAATACAATGACATGCCCCAACCAATCAGAAGATCGGATTGTTAATTTATATGCAAGAGAGTAAAAAAGAAATTAAAAAAGAAAATAATTATATGCATGGGCCTCCATTTCCTGATGGAGCGAAGTCAAAAGTCAACAAAGCCCAAAACACAATCGGCCATTACCAACCAAACCCACTAAAACGGCCTCGTTCTCTATCTTCAGCTTCCCACTCCTCTCAGTCACTCACTACGCAGCAGTCGTCGCGCCCAGAGACTCACCACACTGACCAACTTTCCAACGCTTTCAGTACGTTCTTCCTCTCGATCTGAAACCCTAGCGTCTTCCAGATCGCGTACTTGCATACGTGCATAAATGTAGGCCTCATTATATGTATCTGAAGCTGTTGACTTTGCTGCTGTTTCAGGTATGGCTACCAGAAACCTCGGGGGATTTCTGGTGCTGATTTTGGCGATTGCGATCTGCGAAGCTGCTTCCGTCTTCCAGCCGATCTCTGACTCTCACCGATCCGCGGCCTCTGAGCTCTTCACAGCCAACGATGGATCCTTCGGGAGGTGAATTAAACCCTTGAAGAAATGATTTCTTTGTTTGTTTTCATATTTTCTG